CAGATTTTGGGCCCACAAAATTATCAGTCCAGGCAAAAAAGGGACTGGAATTCCACCCAAGATTTGAGATTTCTCAAATTTCCACCCCCCAAAATACATGGGTTGGAGATGGTATTTGGAAGCTAAACTCAAAATTTGAGTTTCCACCCCAAGGGTTGGAGATGGTCTAACGTACTATAAATTAATCCCACATGGGTCCACAGTAGATCACAACTTCTCCCAAGTTAAAACCTTTAAATTAGTTTATTTAGAAGTCAAATTAGTTACATATGGGCAGGTTTGCATTCCTGGGCAACGGTGACTTTCTTAAAACCTTGCAGCTTTATCTTACCTCATGATCGAATATGAAAATCCAGTAACAGCATAAAATATATATATGTTTCATGCTTGTTTGGCATAAAAAATGAAAAGTTTCGTGCTTTGTTAATTCTTTTAAAGAGCAGACTTCAACTAATCATTGCTTTAAGTACCAGAGCCCAATTGAGGTCAGCTGTTCATTGCTCTACAGCCTAGTTTCCCCTCTCTCTCTCTCTCTCTCTCTCTCTCTCTCATAATTCACAACATATATATACAACAAGTTGCAACTTGCAAGTTTTGTTGGTGGAAAAATGGGCTGCAAGTCATCAGATAAGGCAAAGCCAAAGCACAGAAAGGGATTGTGGTCACCTGAAGAAGACCAAAGGCTTCGAAACTACATCCTCAAGCATGGCCATGGCTGCTGGAGCTCTGTTCCGATAAACGCCGGTGAGTTTTCCATTTTTCTTCTGTTCTTTTTGCTACAACCCTAAATCAACTCTGCCTGGTTCTAATTAAGGAATGCATCATAACTGTTTTATTTTAGTATTGGCACATTGGCCTATATTTAACATTGCTGGAAAAAAGATTGACAGAGGAATCTAAGATGGTTTTGATGATCAAGAATTTCAAGCTTTTGGTAATTATATAAAATGGCCAATCTGCAATCTATTGTTAATGCAAATTCTGTGGCAAGATTAACGAGTGTTAAAAGAATGACCCCATTTTGTCATTTAATCTCTTGGAGTTGGTAAAGATGGCTCTGTGAGCCAACAACAATAGAGCTTGTGGTAAACTCTGAGGTATCTAAGCAAAAGAGATTGATGGTGACTTTTCTATATAATTGGCTTAAACATCCACCTCAATTTGACTTTAATGCCATATGTAATTATTATTCATAAGATTATAATATACATGCAGGTTTGCAAAGGAATGGAAAGAGCTGCAGATTAAGGTGGATTAATTACTTGAGGCCGGGGTTAAAGCGAGGGACATTTAGCAAACAAGAGGAGGAGACAATCCTGACCCTTCATCATATGTTAGGGAACAAGTAAGCAATCAAGCAAGATAACCATCTTTTGTTTTTCTTGTTTACTTGTTTATTACTTTTCATAATTTAGGGTAATTTCTGGGTCAATGATGGATGTTGATGTATAATGATATTAATATAGAAGTAATTATTAAAACCAGGTGGTCTCAAATTGCACAGCATTTGCCAGGAAGAACAGATAATGAGATAAAAAATTACTGGCATTCTTATTTGAAGAAGAAAGTGGCCAAAGCTGAAGAAATCATGGAAGGCCAAAGCAAATCTCAATATACAAGCACTACTTCAAGCTCAGACAACTTAGAGTGTTCACCATCTCCCCACAAGCCCACAACCTCTATTAATCCAAGTTATGAGTCAGTGGAAAAATCACCAACATTAATTCCCCAGACTGGTGATCAAACTCACAGAAGCCCTTTACCAAAGATTTTGTTTGCTGAGTGGCTTTCCTTAGACCATGTTCATGGTGGAAGCTATGCAAATAATATCGGTGAGGCTGGGGTTTCCAGGGAAGGCTTTGATCACAGTTCTAATAATCTTCAAGCAGATCATGCTCTAGGACATGATTTTTTATTGAACAATGAAGGAACATTTGAGAATGGTTCTAATTATGGGCTAAGCCATCATGGAGCGGCTACTGAGATGATCAATTCATCACAACTTAAGTTTGAGGATCAGATTTCAGGACCTGGGTTTGTTGATTTTATATCAGGGGGTGATATGTGTAGTGATTTCAACTTGCACAACGATGTAATGTATTTTTATAAATAAGGGGAAAAAATTAAGTTCCAAGGCAACAGTGAAAGAATAACCTCTAACTATGCTAATGCTTCTTGGTAACAATATTAGCGGTTATTCTTTCATATTTGCTTCAACATATGGAATTACTTGAAAAACAAGTACAGACTTTGAATTGATCTCATTCTTAATACTCATTGACCAAGACAACTTGAGTTTCAAGAGCTTAGAGTGTAATTTCATTTATCTTTCTTCTTCTGTCTAAGCTGGTGTAGTATATGCAAATCATACAGCTTGGCAACCAAAGCATTAATTCTTAAACCATAATAACCTTCATGAACGAGATGATCAAACAAACAAATCTGTGTAAGTAACTCAACGCGATCAATAGGAGGTTTCTTAACCCAATTCCCCACTTAGTTTAAAATTATGAAATTGTCGTCTGCATGGATTATGGTGGCCCAAAGAACAACAGTGACAACAAAAATAGTGACTGTGATAGGCGTCCATTTCATTGCGATCACCTGTGTATATAGAAATATAACTTGAATAAAAGAAATTATCTTAATTACCATTATGTCTGAGTTTTGAGTAAAATGTACCTCAAGGCGTGGCGAACACCAAATAGGTGAAACAGCTTGTGAAGTACTAGTCGACGGTCTTTCCAATATTTCTGTACATTTAAGTGGAGAAGTTTTAGAACAAAAAGAGGAAGCTTTTCAAGTGTTCATAGCATTGACTTGACAAGGAAAGTAAAAGTAGCTATAAATATGAAAAAGAAAGCCTACCTGAATATCTCCATCTCTCTATGATTTCAGAAAGATTTTCAGTAGCAATGTCTAAATCTTGTTTCCGGTTAGCATTAAGCTTTGACAGATTAGCTTGTGTTCTTGTATCAATGTATTGCTTTCTAATATTCCCAATCACACCATCTGCCAAACAAAGTTGTGACATGCATGGTTGTGCAAAACATTCGCAACTAAATTAAAACTTACATTTTTGGGGTGGGATATAAATCGTAAAGACTTAATTTGTAATTATCTACCTTCTAATTTGACATCTAGTGCTAAGCCTTATGCTAAGAGCCAAATCGATGTCAAATGGTACTATTAGCTGAAGAAAATTACCGAATTTGACAAAGCAGTATGGTCTTGTGACTTTCTTAATGAGGCTACTATCAAAGTTTTCAAATTCCTTTTGCAAATCTTGTAGATAATGGAAAGCTAGTTTTCTTGGATATGAAGAGTCGCAGAGTGTGATGAAGGCAATTCCATTCTCGACCATGTAGCTTCATTTTAAAAGGATTAGGTTATAAAAAAAAAAACCACATGTAAATACCGTCCCCTGTTTTATGATGGTTTAGATTTCTTTGAGCATTTTCAATTTTTGTTACCTTGATTTTGGGATAAAATTAAAAGAAAAAGGAAAAACAGAGAGAGAAAAAAGAGGATACTTAAAGCAGTGATGATCGGCACGAATGGTCATCTTGGAAGGAGGCAAGGCTCCTCTTGAGATTTCTCCGAGTATGAACTCCCCCTGTCTCTTGTAAAATGAGAAGTTTTCATGTTCTTCATTCAAAGAAGAAGGTCCTTTTGCAAGACACAGACCATCACTTAACCTTCCAACAATTGCAAGCTTTACCATATCTACTACATATATGAACGAGTTTAAGAAGATGTTGTATTTATAGAGATGAAAGGGGAAAGAAGCTAAATGAAGGTAACTTGGAGATGAAGTTATTCCTTAGGTCACGGGTGTGCAAAGGAAGCCATGGATTTCTGTGGAAACAAGCTAAATATTAACTCCACAAACAAAGGCAAGCAATGTCTTCTTCTTCCTCCTTTTCATTCCAAGGAAAATATAATGGTCATAAAGATTTCGCATTTAAATAAAATAAATTTGTTTACACACACGTATCATTTACATTACTAGCAATCATCATGATCGTCAAATTAATGAAATATTAATCTAAAAGAGGGAAAAAGAAAAAGTTTGTGATAAATAAGTTGAGTTGATTTTTTCTGCAAATCAAGTGTATGTAGTGAGTACACACACATACTTTATCAAGACACACACAATAACTAACATTGGCCAATGCCCCATTTCAACAAGAAGAAATAAACACATCTAAATCAACAAAATGTACCTCCAAGCCAACAGAATATACAAATAATTCAAATGTTGTCAACAGGACCTGAATTTATTTTAGCCTGAAAAACAAGCAAGTAGTTTCTTAGGAGCATTTCCTGTGGCACGGTATTTTGCAGCTGTTTCCTCCGCCTTAAGAAGATCTTCCCCGCGTTTAGCTTCGATCGCTGCCCTCTTTTCTTCTGCAGCCTTGTGGATTAAAGCTATCTTGTTTTTCATCTGTTCCACATACTCTGCCTTTTTCTTCTCCAATTTTTCCTGCTCATGCACAAATTGCTCTCTTTCTTATTGGAATTCAAGTACTGGATTTGATGTTATCTCACTCACAAAACTTAATAAGATCATAGAGGAAATGAATGAATTGTTACCTCAATCTTTTTCAACTCAGCCTCCACAGTTGCCTTCTTGGTGTTCTCCCATGAACCAACGGCAGATAGCTTCTTATGAGCTCTGTTTTCCAACACAAAATACATTCACTTCAGTATATCAAATTATATCAAACGGACTTGGTGGAAATGGAAAATCTAATCGTTTCGTTAGAATGAGATGATTCCATTGGCATACAGATAGCAATGCCAGAGCTTCCATAAACTTTTGCATAATATGATGCTCGCTGAATTAAACTCAATATACAGGAAAAGTCCTTACTTATTCTCTGCCTTTGATTTTTCACTTTCTTCCCATGCTCTGATAAGTGACAGCCTTTTCTCTGTTGCAACTCTTGCAAGCACAGCATCTGAAGAAGATAGGAGAAAGTTAAACCTACATCAACAAGCGGGATTGAAATTAAGAAGCTCGGGATGAAACAACACTCACCTCGATTGACTGAACCCTCCTTACTTTTCTCTTCGGCAGCAGGTTCACAAGGCTCTATGGGAGGAGAAAAAAAAAGCTTCTTTCAAATTTGGGATGCCAAGGATATTATATAGCAAGCAAAAGCAATGGTAATTTGGTCCATCTAATGGAAGAACTTTCGGAATTCAAATTCTGAAGTGTCTAACCGAACTTAACTCGATCAAATCCTGACACTGAAATATAATTTCTAACAAAAAGAAGAAGACTATGAAATATAATTTGATACAGAAAACAATATTTACTACAAAAATACAGGGAAAAGGAAACGAAATTCAAAACAATTAGAGAAAGCAAGCGGGTAGAAGGAAATAATTATTGGTAAAATAACTATGGGGAAAATAACATTAAAAGACCAATTTTTTTTAATTTTTTTTTTAATTTTTACAAGAATTAGAAACAGAACATGTATGCCAGACAAGACAAGCAATCCCAAGTCATCAAAGAATAAGAAAATCAGATTCATGATGGGGTGAAAATAAAAGAAGTGATCAGAGCGAGATTTGCTTTTCTCACCAACCAAGCAGATAAAGTAATAAACTTTAACAATAAAGAAAATATAATAAAGTGAAGGTGAATTTGGAGAAATATACTCTCAACAATAGCAAGAACTTTGGAGTGATCAGCCTCAGCTTTGTGTTCAGGGGCAGGGAGTGGTGGAGTTTCAGATTTGTCCTTAGTTGGCTGAGGATCTTTTGGAGCTTCCACAACCGGCTTCTCTTCCTCTGCCGGGGCCGGAGCAGGAGCGAGTGGAGGATCCGAGAGTGACTCGGATTCTAACTTATTGGGTTCCTCTGTCTCTGCCATATTATTGTTTTGTTACTAAAAGGGTTTTTTTTTGGTTGGTTGCAAATGGAAGAAACTCGAAGCTTTCAAAAGCAAGTTCACTGTGTATATACTAAGAAAGAAGATTATACAAGCAACAGAGATAGATATGGTTGAGATTGTATAGGTGGTATAGTTGGAGGAAGGCAACTGTTACTATAAAAAAACCTAATTAGCTCATGAGCTGGATGGTAGGTACATGTGGCCTCTGATGAATTGTCAATACTTTCTGAGTAAGAAACACAGAGTGTGACAATTTTAATCAAAGTGATTAATTAAAAGAAGAAGAAAAAACACACTAAATTTTGTTATTATAATAAGAAAATGTTATTATCAAGGAGAGCTCCATTGTTGTTCAGTCTTGCACTAGCATTGTTAATGTCCTCCTGCGGTTCTCTCTATGCACCAGCGTGTAATTGTTTATCAAGGTAGTGTCTTTCATCGCCAAAATCAAAGTTGTTATTTCTAAAAGTGCGTACTATTGTTCTAAACGTTACAATAGATTCTAAATTCGAATACTATATCTCCTACATCTCTATTAATTAATAACAGTAAACGGTTTCACATACTCATGTGAAAGTAAGCACATTTGTTTTTCTCTTTTATAAAGTAACCTAATTGCTTTTGATTACCAAAAGAAGAAATTGCATATTATCTTTGACTTTTAGTGACTCTTAATCGAGTAAATTAGTATTCTTGATACAGTATATGAGGGAATATTTTTTGCCTTTTGATTGGACAGTTTATGAGTTTCCATATTTTCATAAACGCCAAATCAAGAGAGAGAGAGTTGGCTTTGTGTTAGTAATTAGGTGGTGAGCTAATGTTTTCATTTTAGAAAAGGTAAACGAATGCTTTGGCTCCATATAAGAGACAAATTAACAACATTGTATGTAGTTAACAATTAGAATGATGAAAGAATTATTCGGAATTTCTTTTGGACTGAAGTGATCTGTATTTATTTATTTCCAAAAATAGATATTTTGTACGATCAAGAGTAACAGAGCAGGAGCTCATCAGCTCTCGTCAAGATTCTATGATTTTCGCATTGGCGATGGAATCTTTGTAGGCCACAATGTAAAGTGACCTGCCACCCTTCTCTATCAATCTACTTTTCCATCCACCCCCTCAAAACGCCAAACATTGTAACTGCCTCTCTCTCTCTCTCTCTCTCTCTCTCTCTCTCCGTGTAATTAGAAAGAGACAGAAAATCTTTTTGTTCCCACTTCAGCTCTGTGAGGATTGAATTGATCAAATACGGTCCTCACGTTATTGGATGCAGTTTATTTGGGAAGGCCAAAAGGAGCTTGGCCCAGGCCACATGCATGGCTATATATACAGTTGTATTGAAAATGATAAAGAATTTAAACCCACCTGTACCATCATTTGATTAGCCCTTTTTGTTTGGGTAATTTATTCTGATTTGCTTTGAGGCTTGACATATGTGTTTGTGTCTGTATTATTAGCCCTCGCAAGAATTTTGCAACCACAAAATAAAAGATCCTTCAGAGGAAGACAAACTTATTGAGATTTGTGTAAAGAATTCTAGCTGAAGCGATTGCTCATGTATGTATCATAGATCATGATTAGAGTTAAAATTGTAAAATTTAGAAGAGTCTCGTAGGAGAAAATACAAGTATATCAAATACATAATTATTCAAAAGTTCATGTGTATTTTAGAGAAGCAGAGGAGAGATTCCTTCGCTACCTGAAATCTTGTATTCGAATTATCCTTCACACCAACATCTTTTGTATGAAAAATTTGTTTGAGACTGTTCGAGAGTTTTTAAGGTGGCTTAGAAGTTAGGCTTACCACCGAAATTTGGAGTTCCAAATACTACTGGACAAACAAGAAAGCAAATGTTGTCGGCAGTTGGAAAACGTTAAAGCACCAACTGCCACAGTGCCACGTTGTGGACCCCTTTGCTGCGCAACTGCGGACGTGTCTATGTACATATTGAACACGTGTCCCAGCTCAGACAAAATGTACATATGACTACATGTCGTAGTCGTGTGCTGTCTCTCTTTTGTTTTTGGTCGAATGTGTGTGCTGTCTCGTATTCAGTTTCTGGATAAAACGATTGAAAAGATAAAATCCACCTAGGTCATTTATATCATTAAAAAAAATACAAATTTATAAATAAACCCAATCTTAGACATGTATTTATAAAAAAACTCAAGCACTATTTAAACATAGAAACACACCCAAAATCAACCCCAAAGTCAAC